GAGGAGTGGCCTGAGGCGAGGAGTACGTGAAGTCAAAGCGCTGAAGGACCTGCTGCACCATGTGTGACTGAGTCAAGGTGAATGGTGCGCCGTGCTCTGTCCTAGGTGATATGCAAGCCAAGATAGCTGCGCAGTTCACCCAGGTCTGTGCACGTGTGTCTGTTCTGCAGCTCCGACTTCACGTGGGTGAGTCCCTCAGTGTCAGAAGTGGCAAAGACCAAGTCGTCGACGTACACGAGGATGTAGAACGGTGGCAGCGAAGTGTCGGTGCGCAGAAACAGCGACGGGTCAGCAGTAGAAGGAGCAAACCCAAGAGCCGCAAGTGTAGTCCTCAGTGTGTCGTGCCACTCACGGGGCGCCTGGCGGAGACCGTAGACTGGCCGCCGAAGGCTCCACTGGGTACCAGGAGGAAACGACCCAGTGAAGCCAGGTGGGCGGTGCGGCCAGATCTCCTCGTGCAGGCTGCCCTGTAGGAAAGCAGTGCTGAAATCAAAAGAGTGAAGCTCGTAGTCACGCTGAGCAGCGACGTGCAGCAGAACCCGAAGAGTGGTCATCTTCAGGGTCGGGGAGAGAAGGTCTGGAAGAAGTCAACTCCCTGTCGCTGACTGAAGCCTCGTGCAACGTAACGCGCCTTGAAGACCGGCGGAGAACCCGGCGGCTGCTTCACCCTGAAAATCCACATGCCACTGACGATGTTCGCCCCAGGAGGGGGAAACTCGTCGACGTAGGTGCCTGTGGACTTCCAGGAAGCCATTTTTGCGTCCATGGCTGACTGCCACTGAGAGGAGTAGGGACCCTCTATCGCCTCTGCGTAACAGCGCGGAGTCGGGATGTCTGGTGCATCCGGGTCTCCCTCAGGGGCAAGCAGCATGGAAACGAGATGATGTAAAGCAGCAGCAAAACACTGGAACTCCTCCTGCTTGTCCTCAAGGACGTCCGTGTTAAGAGCACACTCACCCCCGACGGACGGAGGACAGACAGACACAGACTCAGCAACAAGACTAGCAGCGTAGTCAAGACGAGAGTGAGCAGCAAAGTCGACAAGCTCAGCAACAAAGGCAGAAGCAGCAGTGGACTCAAAGGAAGGGTCAGTGACAGCAGTGGCCAGGAGACGCGTGACAGTAGGACTGGCAGCACGAAGGGAGTGAGGAGGACGCAGGAGGAGATGGCTGAGGGACACGCTGCGGAGAAGTGGAAGGACGCAGAGCCATCCGGTGCGTGCCAGGGACAGGAGGAGGACGCTGACGCGAACCACGACGACTAGTGCGAGCAGTACGTACAGGCGACGCAGGACGAGACTCAGGCTCACGACGCTCAGTAAGACCTCCTACCGCACCAGTGTAAGGAGGCGGAGCAGGCAGTGGGGAGTCGGGCGGTAACTGTAACTGGGACTGGACAGGTGGTGGACACTCTAAGGAAGGAGCAGGACCAGTAGAAGGCGGGAGACCAAGAACCTGCTGAAGGAGCGGAACGAAAGTACGGCCGCGGCCGTGCAGCGTCTCCAGAACCAGCAGGGACAGCACCAGCACCCCCAGTGTTAGCCCCAGCTCCAGCAGCACCACTAGCTCCAGCAGCTCCTCCGCCAGCTCCAGTAGCGCCAACTCCAGCACCCACAGGAGCACCGGCTCGAGCAAGCACCACCAACGCCAGCACCTCCAGCAGCTCCAGCTCCAGTAGGACCACCAGAAGCCCCAGCAGCTCCAGTAGCGCCAGGGTCAGTACCTCCAGCAGTACCCGCACCAGCAGCATCTCCAGCTCCAGCAGCACCTCCAGCTCCAGCAGCACCGGCTCCAGCAGCACTGTCAGCTCCAGCACCCCCAGCAGCTCCAGCTCCAACAGCAGAAGGACCTCCAGCGCCCGCAGCAGCACCAGCTCCAGCAGCACGGCTCCAGCGCCGAGCAAACCACTCGCGCAGCTGCTGAGGAGAGAGTGGCTCCCGACGGGACGAAGCACCTGAAGGACCTCCAGGCTCAGCACCTCCAGACTCTACACGAGTAGGCCCAGCACCTCCAGGCTTCGCACCCCCCAGACTCAGCAACCCCAGGCTCAGCACCCCCAGACTCAGCACCCCCAGGATCAGCACCCCCAGACCCAGCACCCCCAAGCTCAGTACCCCTAGACTCAGCACCCCCCGGCTCTGCACGCTCAGGCTCAGCACCCCCAGACCCGGCACCCGCAGGCTCAGCACCCCTAGCAGCACCAGAGTCAACAGCTACCTCGACAGGCTCGACTGCGTCTACCTGGGACACACCTGAGGGGGCAGGACCCTGAGGGGGGAGGGGGTCTACGGGGGGAGGACCTGGCGCGAGGAAGAGCGGTGGGGGGGGGGAGGGGGACAGCGCGGTAGGGGAAGAGACGGTAGTAAGGATCCGACTCGTCAAACGTGACGTCCTGAGAGGACAGAACACGGCGCGAGGTGGGGTGTCAGAACATTATATAGCTCATGCTGTTGTGTAGGCTATAGTGGGGTATCCCATAGGGGTACAACCCAATTAGGGTTTCCTATATGTACTCACCTCATTCATAGTTCATTCATCCTCGTTCTTCATTCTTCTCATGGTATCGAGCAGGTTCCCTCGTGGGAACTGTTCCTAGGGCCCACCGTTTTTTTTTTTCCTGCCCGGAGCGCACTCTGCCCCTACCCGAGTCGCGCTCCCCTCTCTCTTGGCCCCTAGTGGCCCCTTTAGCCGCCCGTCACGGCCCTTAGACGCCCCGCGCGCCGCCCGTCCCGGCCCCTTAGACGCCCTGCGCGCCGCCCGTCCCGGCCCCTAGACGCCCGTACGCCACCCGGCCCGGCCCCTAGACGCTCCGCGCGCCGCCCGTCCCGGCCCCTAGACGCCCGCGCGCCGCCCGTCCCGGCCCCTAGACGCCCGCGCGCCGCCCGTCCCGGCCCCTCGACGCCCGCGCGCCGCCCGTCCCGGCCCCTCGACGCCCCGCGCGCCGCCCGTCCCGGCCCCTCGCCGCCCGTGAGCCGCCCGTCCCGGCCCCTAGACGCCCGCGCGCCGCCCGTCCCGGCCCCTCGACGCCCACGCGCCGCCCGTCCCGGCCCCTAGACGCCCGCGCGCCACCCGGCCCGACCCCTAGACGCCCGCGCGCCGCCCGTCCCGGCCCCTCGACGCCCGCGCGCCGCCCGTCCCGGCCCCTCGACGCCCGCGCGCCGCCCGTCCCGGCCCCACGCCGCCCGTGAGCCGCCCGTCCCCGGCCGCGCACCGCAAGTCCCGGCCCCACGCCGCCCGTGCGCCGCCCGTCCCAGCCGCGCGCCGCCGTCTCGGTCCCCACGCCGCCTGTGCCGCTGAGGAGCTGAGCCGCCCGAGCCGCCCGCACCGCCCGAGCAGCCCGAGCCGTGCTGCCCCTCAGCAGCACAACCGAGCCGCCCGACAGCAGAGCAGCCGAGCCGCCCAGCAGCCGAGCCGCTCAACAGCCGAGCCGCCCAGCAGCCGAGCCGCCCAGCAGCCGTGCCGCCCAGCAGCGGAGCCGCCGAGCCGCCGAGCCGCCCGGCAGCCGAGCCGCCGAAGCCGCCGCGCCGCCCTCCTTCCGGGCCGCCCGACCTGTCCAGTCTGGTGAGCACAGCGCCCTTTCACTGCACTGCCCTCACCCCTACTGTTTGCGCTGCCAGTCGTCTAGGGTCATGGCTACCCCTAGTGTTCTAGTCTTTGACGCTGAGGGTCGGGCCATTGACTTTGAGGTCTGGGTGGATGACCTGCAGCTGTTCTTACAGTGCGATAGGGCAGATGGTCTCTCTCTCTTTGACCTCACCTCTGGCGCCTCCACTGCCCCTGCTGCTGACGCCGACGCCACTGTTCGCTCCCAGTGGGCCACGCGCGACGCTGCTGCACGTCTTGCTGTGCGTCGCCACCTCCCTACCTCCGAGCGTGCACACTTTAGTCAGTACAAGAGTGCTCAGACCTTGTACGACGCTTGTAGTTGCGCGCTACTCCTCCCCTGCCACTGCTGCACTGAGCCGTCTCATGCTACCGTACCTCTTTCCTGACCTTGCTGCCTTTCCCACAGTCGCTGACCTCATTACGCACCTCCGCACTAGTGACACTCGCTACCGCGCTGCACTCCCTGCTGACTTCTGCGCCAAGAACCCCCCCCCCATGTACATCACTCTTTACTACATAGTCACTCGCCTTCCTGACTCCCTTCGCGTAGTCAGGGACCACTTTCTCTCTGTCTGTCCCACCACTCTCACTGTTGACCTCCTCGAGAAGTCCCTCCTAGCGGCCGAGAAGAGCATAGTCGCTGTAGGGGCCTCTCGTGGTGACCCGCGCACCCCCATCTTTGAGGGGTGTTCCCCCTCCCCCCTTCTGCCCTCTGTTGCCTCTGCTGCTGCGGCCGACCTCCTTGGTCTTGAGTCGGTCGGTGTGGCGTCTGCCCCTAGTGGGAGACGCCGCTCTGGCAAGGGCAAGGGGGGGCAAGGGCGCTGGAGGAGCGAGCGGGGGCGGTGGAGGTGGAGGTGGCGGCAGTGGGGGGAGTGGGGGTGGCGGTGGGAGTGGATGTGGGGGGTGGAGGAGTCGGTGGCGGCAGTGGAGGCGGAGGTGTCGGCGGCGGTGGCAGTGGGAGCGGGGGTGGCGGAGGTGGCGGCGGCGGAGGCGGAGGTGGAGGCGGCGGCAGTAGCGGAGGCGGCGGAGGCGGAGGAGGCGGCGGGGGTGGAGGTGGTGCTGGTCGCGGGTCTTCGCAGAGGAGTGGCTCCGGTGGTGGCTCGCGCCAGCAGCAGCAGCGTGGTCGTGGCACCTTGTCCCCTCAGCAGCTTCGTGAGTGGTACACTGCGCGTCAGCGAGGTGGGGGTTTTGGTCCGTGCTCCTACGTTTTGCGCACCAGCGACCGTGCGGGTGAGCAGTGTGGGGGTCCCCACCCCACTCAGCGCTGCTTTGGCCGCCTGACGGACGGCGTGGCGTCACCAGTTCCCGGAGGCCTCAGAGATCCCTCGTTGGGGTGACCTGTCCAGGGCGGGTGTTGCCATCTATGATCTTGACTTTGATGCTATTCTCTCTGCCATGTATGCTGTGTCTATTAGTGATGAGGGTGACTGTTACCGGTGTTTCCCGCCCGATCCGGGTATTGAGACTGCTGCTCTAGGTCCTGGTGAGGCTGCTGCCCTAGGTGCTTGCGACGCTGCTGCCCTAGGTGCTCGTGTGTCTGCGTCCTCAGGTACTGGTGAGTCTGCGCTCTCAGGTACTACGTCGGCTTCGGCCTCCCTCACCTTCACCCTTGACTCTGGGGCGTCTCGCTCCTTCTTTAGGGACCGCACCACACTCACACCGCTGAGTCGACCGGTTGCAGTGTCTCTGGCTGACCCCTCTGGGGGTCCTGTCCTGTCTCGCTTCTCCACAGTCCTCCCGTGTCCGGCGGCTCCCTCTGGCACCCTGTCTGGTCTCTACCTCCCCTCGTTCTCTACGAACCTGGTGAGTGGTGCTGACCTACAGGATGCGGGTGTACACCAGTTCACTCCTGCGCGTCAGCGGGTGACGCACTGTACAGAGGCTCGCACAGGCCGACACCTGGCTACGTTTACCCGTCAGCCGGGGTCGAGCCTGTACACACTGACCACTGCGTCTCCTCCCGTTACTGAGTCTGGTAGAGTCGCTTCGTCGGGTCAGGTGTTTGCTGCTGCGTCCAGGTCTGGTCCTGAGTCTGCCCCCTGTTCTTGTCGTCTCCTGTCTCACGAGGACTCTTCTCTGGCACTACCGTCTTGGTCACCCCTCTCTGCTTCGGCTCAGAGGCATGGCCTCCCGTCTTCTAGTGTCTGGTCTCCCCCGGTCCCTCCCTCCCCTTCCTCAGGGCCCTGGCCCTACCTGTGTCCCCTGTGTCGAGGGGCGCCAGCGTGCTGCCCCTCACTCCTCCCAGTTTCCTCCGACAGAGGCCCCGTTGCAGACGCTCCACATGGACGTGTGGGGCCCAGCCCGCGTCCGTGGGCAGGGTCACGAGCGCTACTTCCTGCTCGTTGTTGACGACTACTCGCGTTACACCGCAGTCTTCCCCTTGTGCGGCAAGGGTGATGTCACTGAGGTGCTGATCGACTGGATCCGCGCAGCTCGTCTCCAGCTCAGGCAGAGCTTTGGCTCCGACTTTCCTGTTCTGCGTCTGCACTCGGACAGAGGCGGAGAGTTCTCCTCTGGCCTTCTGCGAGCCTACTGTCGTGCACGAGGCATCCGTCAGACCTTCACGCTCCCGGACTCTCCGCAGCAAAATGGGATTGCTGAGCGCCGCATTGGCATGGTCATGGACGTCGCTCGTACGTCTATGATGCATGCGGCTGCCCCCCATTTTCTGTGGCCGTTTGCGGTGAGGTACGCGGCACGTCAGATCAACCTTCACCCCAGGGTCTCCAGGCCGGAGACCTCCCCAGCCTTGCTGTGGACCGGGAAGGTGGGCGATGCGTCGGCGTTCCGGGTCTGGGGATCTCGGGCGTTTGTCCGCGACTTGTCTGCGGACAAACTGTCCCCTCGTGCTGCTCCTTGCGTCTTCCTGGGGTTCCCCCCAGACGCGCCTGGGTGGCAGTTCTACCACCCCACCTCTCGCCGTGTTCTGTCCTCTCAGGACGTCACGTTCGACGAGTCGGTACCCTACTATCGCCTCTTCCCCTACCGCACTCCGTCCCCCCCCCCGCCCCCGCTCTTCCTTGTACCAGGTCCCCCCCCGGTAGACCCCCTCCCCCCTCAGGGTCCTGCCCCTTCAGGTGTGTCCCAGGTAGACGCAGTCGAGCCTGTCGAGGTCACTGGTGACTCTGGTGCTGCTGGGGGTGCTGAGCCTGGGGGTGCTGGGCCTGGGGGTGCTGGGCCTGGGGGTGCTGAGCCTGGGGGTGCTGAGTCTGGGGGTGCTGAGTCTGGGGGTGCTGAGCCTGGGGGTGCTGAGCCTGGGGGTGCTGAGCCTGGGGGTGCTGAGCCTGGGGGTGCTGAGTGTGGGGGTGCTACGCCTGGGGGTGCTTTGCCTGGGGGTGCTGGACCTGGGAGTGCTGCGCCTGGAGGTCCTCCGCCTCGAGTTTCTACGCGTGCTTTGTCTCGCCGGGAGCCACTCTCTCCACAGGAGCTGCGCGAGTGGTTTGCCCGGCGCTGGAGCCGTGCTGCTGGTGCTGGAGGTTCGTCGGCTACTGAGGGTGCTGCTGTTGCGGGTCCCGGAGGTGCTCGTACTGGGAGTACTGGAGCTGCTGGGCCTGCGGGTTCGACTGGAGCTGGTGCTGCTGAGGGTGTTGGCGCTGAGACTACCACTGGCGGTCCTGCTGGGGGTGCTCCTGGTGTTGCTCGAGGTTCTGGAGCTACTGGAGGTGCTGCTGGAGCGGGGTGCTCCTGCTGGGGGTACTGGTGCTGTCCCCTGCTGTTTCTGGCGTAGCTACGCGGCCTCGACCGTACTTCGTTCCACTCCTGCAGCAGGTTCTTGGTCTTCCGCCCTCTCCTGGTCCTCCTCCTCTCTTGGAGGGTCCACAGCCTGTCCCGTCGCGGTCACTGCTACAGCCTACCTCCCCTTTGCCTGCTCCTTCTCCCTACACTGGTCCTACTGGAGGTCTTACTGAGCGTCGTGAGCCTGCGTCTCGCCCTGCGTCGCCTGTCCGTGCTGCTCGCGCTAGTGGTCGTGGTTCGCGTCAGCGTCCTCCTCCTGTCCCTGGCACGCACAGGATGTCTCTGCGTCCGTCTACTGCTCCTCTGCGTGCCCCTTTGCCTTCTCCTCCTGAGTCCTCTCTTCCTGCTCTTCCCGACCCTGCGTCGGACTCTCTTCGTGCTGCCAGTCCTACTGTCACGCGTCTCCTTGCTACTGTCGTCACTGACCCTTCCTTCGAGTCTACTGCTGCGTCTGCCCTAGTTACTGAGCTCGTCGACTTTGCTGCTCGCTGTCGCCTAGACTACGCTGCTAGTCTTGTCGCTGAGTCTGGGTCTGCCTGTCCTCCGTCAGTCGGGGGTGAGTGTGCCCTTGGCACGGACGTCCTTGAGGACAGGCAGGAGGAGTTCCAGTGTCTGGCAGCTGCTTCACCTCATCTCGTGTCCGTACTGCTTACCCCTGAGGGAGACCCGGATGCACTTGACATCCCGACTCCGCGCTCTTACGCGGAGGCGATAGAGGGTCCCTACTCCTCTCAGTGGCAGGCAGCTATGGATGCAGAGATGGCTTCCTGGAAGTCCACAGGCACCTACGTTGACGCTGTCCCCCCTCTTGGGGCGAACACATCGTCAGTGGCATGTGGATCTTCAGGGTGAAGCGGCCGCCGGGTTCTCCGCCTGTCTTCAAGGCACGTTACGTGGCTCGTGGCTTCAGTCAGCGATAGGGAGTTGACTACTTTCAGACCTTCTCCCCCACCCCGAAGATGACCACTCTTCGGGTGCTGCTACACGTTGCTGCTCACCGTGACTACGAGCTGCACTCTCTCGACTTCAGCACTGCTTTCTTGCAGGGCAGCCTGCACGAGGAGATCTGGCTGCGCCGCCCACTTGGCTTCACTGGGTCTTTCCCTCCTGGTACCCAGTGGAGTCTCCGGCGTCCAGTCTACGGTCTCCGCCAGGCGCCACGTGAGTGGCACGACACACTGAGGACTACGCTTGCGGCTCTTGGGTTTGCTCCTTCTACTGCCGACCCCGTCGCTGTTTCTACGCACCGACACCTCTCTGCCGCCGTTCTACATCCTCGTGTACGTCGACGACTTGGTCTTTGCCACAGCTGACACTGCTGGACTCGCCCACGTGAAGTCCGAGCTGCAGAAGAGACACACGTGCACAGACCTGGGTGAACTGCGCAGCTACCTTGGCTTGCAGATCACCCGGGACAGAGCACGCCGCACCATTACCCTGACTCAGTCACACATGGTGCAGCAGGTCCTTCAGCGCTTCGGCTTCACGTACTCCTCGCCTCAGGCCCACTCCTCTGCCTACTCGCCACTCACTCTCAGCTCTGCCTTCGGATGAGTCCGTAGAGTCGAGTGGCCCGTATCCAGAGCTTGTTGGCTGCCTCATGTACCTGATGACCTGCACACGACCTGACCTTGCATACCCTCTTAGCATTCTTGCACGCTATGTTGCTCCTGGGAGACACCGACCAGAGCACATGGCTGCAGCGAAGAGGGTGTTGCGATACTTGTGCAGTACGTCGGGCATGGGACTAGTGCTTGGAGGGCGGAGTCCAGTGGTCCTCACTGGGCACAGCGGGACGCTTCTTGGGCTGACGACCAGGCTACGCAGCGGTCGTCGCAGGGTTACACCTTCAGTCTTGGTTCTGGCTCTGTCTCGTGGCGAGCTACTCGCTCGTCCTCTGTTCTCGGCTCCAGTTGTGAGGCTGAGATCTACGCCGGGGCCATGGCTGCACAGGAGCTTCGCTGGCTCACCTACCTGCTGACTGACCTTGGAGAGCCGCCTCGTTCTCCTCCAGTGCTGTACGTAGACAACAAGGCCATGCTGGCCTTGTGTCGAGAGCAGCGCTTGGAGCACAGAACGAAGCACATTGCTCTCCGTTACTTTCTTGCTCGTGAGCTGCAGCAGCGTGGTCAGTTGCGACTTGCGTACGTGGCCTCTCAGGCCAACACTGCTCATGTGTTCACCAAGGCACTTGCGCCTTGTGACCATCAGCGCTTCTGCACTCAACTGGGTCTTGTACCTGTCTTGCCTCACTTGCTCTCCTCTTGACCTTACTTGTACTGTCACATATATATACCTGCTCTTGCTTGTCTAGCTCTATATATATATGTGTACTCCTGCATGTGAACTGGCCTTGTGGCCTTGTCGTTGTGCTCGGACTGTGTGGTGACGTTGTGATCCACCCTGAGCTTGCTCTGCTTTGCTTGACTGGTCTTGTGACCCCTTGTTCTCCCCCACTTTGCCTATGGGGGGTGTGTCAGAACATTATATAGCTCATGCTGTTGTGTAGGCTATAGTGGGGTATCCCATAGGGGGTACAACCCAATTAGGGTTTCCTATATGTACTCACCTCATTCATAGTTCATTCATCCTCGTTCTTCATTCTTCTCAGTGGGGTGGTAAAACTGCCAACCAGGCGCGTCAGGGGGGAAGCCAAGGAAGACGGAGGGAACAAACACGGGAGGACAGCTTGTCCGCAGACAAGTCGCGGACGAAAGCTCGAGATCCCCAGACACGGAACGCAGACGCATCGCCAACCTTCCCCGTCCACCGCAGAGTAGGTGTGGTCTCCGGCAAGGAGACACGATGCTGAAGGTTGATTTGATGCACTGCGTACTGAACCGCAAACGGCCACACAAAAATGGGGAGCAGCCGCATGGATCATGGACGTACGAGCGACGTCCATGACCATGCCAATGCGCGGCGCTCAGCAATCCCATTTTGCTGCGGAGAGGCCGGAAGCGTGAACGTCTGGCGGATGCCCTGCCGCACGACAGAAGGCTCGCAGAATGTCGGAGGAAAACTCTCCACCTCTGTCGGAGTGCAGACGCAAAACAGGAAGGTCCGAGCCGAAACTCTCGCTGAGCTGACGACGGGCAGGCGCGGATACCAGTCGATCAGCACCTCAGTGACCTCACCCCCACCGGCGCAAGGGGAAGATGGTGGTGTAACGCGAGTAGTCATCAACGACCAGCAGAAAGTAGCGCTCGTGACCCTGTCCACGGAAAGCGGGCTGGGCCCCACACGTCCATGTAAAGAGGTCTGCAGGGGAGCCTCCGTCGGAGGAAACTCGGAGGAGTGAGGAGCGGCGCGCTGCCGCCCCTCGACACAAGGAATGCAGGTAGGCGCAGGCCCCCGGAGGAAGAGGAGGGAGAGACCGGGTAAGACCAGTGACGAGGACACGGGAGGCCATGCCTCGGAGACGAGGCAGGGAGGGGTGACCAAGGCGGTGGTGCCAGAGAAGAGTCTGGTGAGACAGGATGCGACAAGAGCAGGGGGCAGACTCAGGACCAGATCGGGACTCTGCAGCAAACACCTGACCCGAAGCAGCTACGCTTCTAGGGTTTCATACTTGTACCTTTCTCGTTCCTAGTCAATTCATTCCTCGTATAATTCTCACATGGTATAGAGCGGGTTCCTTAGTGGGACCGTTTTTTTTTTACGGGCCCACCACCTGAATTTTTTTTTTTTTTACTTGCCCTGCCCGTAAAGCGCGCCTCGGGCTCTGCCCTACGGCCGCCCTTAGCGGCCTGCCCTGACGTCGCGGCCCTTAGAGGCCCGCCCTGCTGCTCTTACGCGGCCCTTAACGGCCCGCCCGCCCCCTTTCGTTGCGGCCCGTCGCGGCCTGCCCGCCCCTTCGTCGCGGCCCGACACGGCCCGCCGCCCCTTCATCGCGGCCCCTTCGCAACCTGCCCGCCGCTTCGTCGCGGCCCTACGCGGCCCTGCCCGTCCCCCCTTCGACGCGGCCCCTGCCCGCCCCCTTCGACGCGGCCCTGCCCGTCCCCCCTTCGATGCGGCCCTGCCCTCCCCTTCGACGCGGCCCTGCCCGCCCCTCCGACGCGGCCCTGCCCAGCCCCTTCGACGCGGGCCCTGCCCGCCCCTTTCGTCGCTGGCCCCCAACCCCACCCTACTCTGCAGCAAGCAGCCGTCGCCCGCCCCTGCTGCCGCCGTCGCGCCTTCAGCAGCCTGGGCGACCGCCGCTTGCCGTCGCCGATGCGGGCCCCGCCGTCGCGGCCCTGCCCGCCTGCCCCTGCCGCGGCCCTGCCCTGCCGCCGAGCCGCGACCCTGCCCTGCCGCCGAGCCGCGGCCCTGTCCTGCAGCCGCGCCGCTCGTGCCCTGCCCTACCGCCTCGTCGCGGCCCTTACCCTGCTGGTGCGCCTCGGCCCGGGCCCCACCAGTCGCGGCCTCCACCTCCCGCCACTGGTATGAGCACCGCCGCACCCGCACCGCCCTACCGAGCCGCGCTTGCCCCTGCAAGTCGCGCTGCTCCTGCTGCTACTACTGCTGCTTGCCCCTACAGTCTATGGGTAGCCCTTCTATCCTTACCTTTGATGTGAGGGTCGAGCAGTCGATTTTGAGGTCTGGGTTCGATGATCTGCAGCTGTTTTCTGCAGTGCGATAGCAAGGACGCGAGTCTCGCTTTTTTATCCTCACGTCTGGCGCCCTCTCCTGCACCTGCTCTGATACCATGTGAGAATTATACGAGGAATGAATTGACTAGGAACGAGAAGGTACAAGTATGAAACCCTAGGAAAAGCTTGTCTACCCCCTATGGTCTACCCCACTACAGCCTACACAGGCTATATCATATAAGTCTGACAAGCTCCTGGTTTGGCTTTGTGTCAGAAGGGCCTGTCGTAGTCGAGTGTCGGATCGCCGACTGCGTCTGCTCCATGTCGGTGCGGAGGCTTGGATCTGTCGCTCTTGGTCGCGTTAGTTGTCGCCCTTGGCCCTCCATGCCTGACTTTTGCCACGTTCGAAAAAACCGAAACG